ACCTTCCTCATTCTCGAATCCAACGGAGGAGACCAGTGACTCAGAGCCGTAGTCCTGCAAGGTCTCGTGTCTGCCCACGCCAAGCGAAGGTGAAGCTGAACCGCTCTTGTCGTGCGTCGCTCTCCAGAGTTCGCTGGCGAACGGAGTGTTTGACGCACGGGCACAGATACCTTTGCGAACAACGAACAGGGTCCGCTCCATGTGGACCTCCTCGTCTTGTGCGAACGCACAGATGTCCAGACGCTGCGCAGCAGCCACGACGAACAAGTCGTCTGAATGGGAAAAATACGAAACCTCTTTAATCCACCTCTTGTGGAGGTGCAGCAAGATCTCGCCCTGAAGGGCTGGCGACAGCTGGCTGATAACGGCCTTTTCCTTGCGGTGTCTATGGACCTCCCGAGACTCGAAAAAGTACATACGCATTTTCTTGCGCAGGACAGAGGGCATCTCAAAGTCCTCCATAAATTCATTCAAGTCGTCTACGTCCTGTCTAAACTTGTTAAGAGAGGGGCGCATGGTCGCTACAACGGTGCACGCCGCTCCAATCACATAAGCCCACAGACCCGCCATGCAAACCATGCAGATAGTGCAGATTATGTACTCTGTGGTGTTCAACGGCACGATGTCCCCATAACCAACGCTTGTCAAGGTCATGACTGCCCAATACAAGGAAAGCAAATACACATTGAACGGGTCTCTGTGGCATGGCTCGTCAGCTACCTCGTCCTTCACAGATTGCAGCCAGCCCTCACCACAGGGCTGCTGCATGGCGGTGAACCCCCAAATGCATGCATTCCAGTGGCTCACCATCAGAAGCAGAATCAGAAACTTGCAAACAGAAATCGTCGAGTAACTGATACCCGCACGAGTGTGCCAGCGACTTGCTATTCGCTGAAACTTTGCCAGACGGATAAGACGCACAAGGCGGAGCAGTCGTACTATTCGCACTGCTTTCAACCCAGTCATGCCAGGGAGCTTCTTCTTTCGGGACCACAAAGCGTACACATCGATTGGGATGACGGAGACGAAATCGATCCAGAACCAACCTCGGAAATACGCCTGAGCGATGTCGCACGGCGCAGTGACCTGCCGTGCATTCTCGTCCCTGTGGACAATGACAAACTGCATGCACAGGTCAACAAAGAACGAAGCATCTATCCGCCACCGTTCCTCCTGGCACGCTAGCGCGTGACAGGATGCCGAGGGCTGTCTGGTAGGGCTTCTGCACAACTTCTACGAACCCCCCAACCCCCTCCACCTGCACCTCGTCTTCCATCTCCTCCTCCTCCTCCTCATCATCATCATCATCATCATCATCATCAGCATCATCAGCATCATCATCATCCCTCCCTCCCTCCCTCCCTCCCTCCCTCACTCCCTCCATCCCTCCCTCGGGCGCGGGTACGGGTCTCTCCCGCGGCCAGAGCGCTGTACTCAGGAGCCCGCGCAACCCCCCCACCCCAGGTGCGGCCCACTGCTGGGTGGCGAGCCGTCCCCGAGGAGGAAGGGGTGCGCCGGCCGGGGCCTATAGCTGGCCTCCATCCCTCCCTCCCTCCCTCCCTCCTCCTCCTCCCTCTTGGGCCCATGTGGGCCGACTAGAGGCCCAAGAGGGCCCAACTAGGGGCCCAAGACGTCCAAGTGGGCCCTCTTGGGCCGACTAGAGGCCCAAGAGGGCCCCGCAGAGGCCCTCTTGGGCCTCTCCCCACCTCCATCCGCATGTATCGCCCCTCCTTCCGGAGGATTCCAGGGCGCACCGACGCCTCTCTGGCAGCCTCCAACACGCCCAAGGCCTCCAAACGGGCCTAGGAAGGGCCACAGAGGCCGCCAAGATTGCCCTGGATTACACCAAGATGCCCCCAAGAGCCCCTCAGAAGCGCCCAATAGATCCCAAGAGGCATCCCAGAAGCCCCCGAGAGGCCAAAAACACTAATCCCACTAATGTTTCTCGATACTTTTCGATTTCCGCGCTCGTCGATCGAAGATCGGTCCACTGCCACTTGCGGTCTCCGAGGGCCCCAAATCGGCCCACTGAGAGGCCCAAGAGGGCCCCTAGTCGGCCCAAGTAGATCCCAAGAGAGCCACAAGCTTGCCCAAGAGGGACTCTGGAGAGACCCAGAACGACCTCAGGGCGCCCCAAGATGGCTCCAAGACGGCCCCAGTCCCCATGAGAGTCCCTCAAGAAGGGGAGACGAGAGGTGTCACATGTGAATACATTCTCGGCGGTGCACGGTGGCGGACTTGTCGCAGGCCTCTGCATAAAGAAATTAAACAAAAACCAAGCGTCCACAACTGGGTCGCGTTCAATGAAGGCCGTCTCGAACGGCGCCGTCACCGTGACGATGACCAACAGGCTGACGATGTACATCTCCCACAGATGAAGGCGGCGCGACTCCTCGCTGTCGATCAACATCCAGGACGGGTAGCGCGCACAACACTTAGCCTCGGCCTTGCGCCCCATTAGCAGCAAGGACATGCGCTGCAAGCGAGGTATCCCCTGGCGGTCCCCGAAGATACACACCGGCAGAAGAGCTTGGACGGCGCGCAAGAAGAAGAAGAAGAAAAAAGAAGAAGAAGAAGAAGAAGAAGAAGAAGAAGAAGAAAAAGAAGAAGAGGCGGGAGGGGCCAGCGTTACAACAGAAGATGCCAGGGGCTTCTCGGCAAAATGTCGGAGGCTTCGGAGAAGGTCTCTTGATTTGTTTGACATTCATACCCCGGGTGGCCACATCCTACATGCCTTCACGCCCAGGGGATCCCCGCTTGTCGGGCTACCCGGGAGAGAAGAAGATGCACCTTCCCCCTGCCCTCGAAGGCCCAACTTGGGTTGCGGCCCAGAGGTGCCTAGCACGCGTGCCACACGTGCAGCGCACAACGCAGAGCACCCGTGCATCGCGCGCGTGCAGGGTCGAAGCGCAGCCACCACGAGGTTGTCTCACGGCCCCACGCCGCTTCCAGAAAGCTCCCTGTGCAACAGGAAGCCAGGACGAGGACAAAATCGGACTGGGACAGATCGGGGACATGTCCGAGATCGGGCAGCTCTGGAGGATGCATCGGGAGCCCCGGCCGCTCCAGAGCGCTGCGGAGCGCTCCGAGGGGCGCTCTCGAGCGCTCCGAAGCGATGCATCCCCGCCGTGGCCCCGCACCCCGACCTGTGAGTGTCCTCGCCGCGTCCTCTCGCCTCCCCCTCCCGCGGCCGCCCGCCTGTTCCCTTCCTCCCCCCTCCTTGCTGCCGGTCCATGAGCGCCGGAATCCCCCCCCGTAGCTTCTCATCCCCTCCTCCTCCTCCTCCTCCTCCTCCTCCTCCTCCTCCTCGATTGTCCACCTCCTCGATCACCGCTGGAGCGCATGCGAGCTGCCTCTGCCGCCCTGCGACGAGAAGAGTCCTGGCCCCGCCCGGCCACGTCTTTTCACGAGAGTTCGCCCGCCTCGTCCCGCCGCCGAGCAAGATCCTCCGTCGAGGCCAGTCCCGAGGTCCCCCTGTCCAGTGCTTGAGCGAAGCAGTGGTTTTCGCTGTGGTTGTGTTCTCGGTCTGCCTCGTTCTGTCCTCGTCCCGCCTCGGCTGCAAAACGACGTCAAAACGAAAACGGCACACGAAATCGCCCAAACCTCGTTTAGCTCGTGCTCTGCCTCTGTCCTGGAGCCGCGTCCGGCTCCGCGGCGGCGAGAACCCACGGAGGCGCACAACAACAACAACAACAACAACAACAACAACAACAACAACAACAACAACAACAACAACAACAACAACAACAAGAACAGCAACAGCAACAGCAACAGCAACAGCAACAGCAACAACAGCAACAGCAACAACAACCACAACCACAGCCACAGCCACAACGAGAATAGCAGCAGCAGCAACAACAACAATAAAAACAAAAACAAACAGACAAACAGACAGACAAACAAACAAACAAACAGAAACCAAAACTGCGAGAGCGGCGACGCCGTCGGCGCCGTGGTGGTGCGCGCCATGGTGTCTTCGGCAGAGACGGAAAACTATGCGCATGTACTGGGACGCAGAAGGACAACTAGTACTATGGTTGCGGATGCCATTTACAATGGACACTTCAACAATCTTATAATTACATTAAAGATATGATAACATGTGTTTTCAAATGTTATACTAATGTTTTAAACATGTGGGCTACATGTTTAAACATGTTTGAAACATGTTTTAGACATCTGGAAAATATTTGGCAGCACGCTTCCTCTCCATTGATTGACTTCCACTTCCACAATACTATGTGTCCTCCTTGGAGGCGTGCGTCCGACCCGATTATATGGTATTCCTATATTGTGGTGCATCGTTTCCCGTGCGGTCTGGCCAGAAAGCGCCAGCCGAGGAGCTTACACTACAAGTCATCTTGTTGCGCGCGTCGCCCCTGCGGGGGCGACGCACCCATAGTGTTCGTATGTTGGGGAGACGCCGATACACCGATCCTCCTGGCCAGGCACATCCTGAGCCCATGATATGCGCATCTACGACCTCCTGGCCGCGGCAGGGGGAGGGCAAAAGCATCAACCATGAGCATACGATCGCCCCAGCAGTGGACTGGTGTGCGGCAGGTCCACGTCGCGGTCCTGCCTGTCTCTGTTCCTGACACTGCGCAGATCTCTCAGACTCGGACCATCGCGGCTCTCCAATAGCGCAGGTAGCTCGATGTTGGCCTGTACTGGGCCAGGCGCTCACCCTTGAATGATGGGCCGATTTTCCACCACCACTACCATACGTAGGAGAGGGCAAGAGGGGGAGGAGGAGGAGGAGGAGGAGGAGGAGGAGGAGGAGGAGGAGGAGGAGGAGGACCTCCTCATCCTCCCTTCTCCCCCGTCCTACATCTGGTAGTGGTGGTGGAAAATGTGCCTATCACTTGAACGCCCGCGCCAGGGACTCCACTGCGCCAGCGCGGCGCCGACCTGCCGCTCCGTGCACGCCGTGCACGCCGTGCACGCCGTACACGCCCGATTTGGGCCCGGCCGGGTCCCGCTCCAGGTCGCCGCTCTGG